TGGAGCCTTAAGAGTCCCCTGTTTTAACATACAAATTAGAGAAATCTAAAGATTATATATTTCTTTCATTAAATACAAATCAGCGTTTAATATGTTTCACTGCAAATACACTGGAAAAAATAGAAATCCAGATAAGTAATTTTTTTCTTAAAATAAGTGCATTTGTGCTTGGATTGATGAGGTAAAAGACAAATTTTGCCAATAGAACAAGGCAATTTACCCTTAAAATAAGAAAACACAATTGCATTGTTTTATTACAATTGCATATTATCTAATTATCTTATTTTAAGAGTAAAAATACCCATTCCATTGGCAAACTATCTCATTTACCTGCTCAAAGTAAGGGTAAATACACTTAATTTAAGAAATTTCTACTTATTTCTGGAGCATTTTTCCAGTGTATATTTCAAATTTAAGGCTGCACTCTAAGAATAACACCAGAATTTCCCAATAGTGGGACAATAAAGGGATTCCTTTCCTATTCTATCACCCAATCTAGTTGGTTCAACCAATTTTGTTTAGATCAACCCATGTATTTGTCAGAAAATGTACCTGGTTAACCAAACAACCAATAAAAATAATGCTAACTGATGGTTTACTAATCTGGCCTTTAGCTGTAGTCAAGTCTATTGTGTAATAATTGTGTACTCAGTGGCGACAGTGGTGCTGATGCAGAAGTTTGCCCTGAAACCGAAGGGTTGGTGGTTCAATCCTATTTTAGCCAAAGTGATCAATTTGTTTTGGTTTGCCCTTTTAAAGGAAAAGTCCGGTCAGCGAGGAATAAGAAATTAATTATTATTTATACCTAAAACTAATACACACGTGGTGATTTAATGAACTTAGCGTTAATCAGTAAAAAAATAAAAACAATAATTTGCGTCACAATCACTGAGTCTGGGAGTGGCCATTTTTGCCCAAATATACTAACACCTCCTAACATCTTCAAGCAGTGACGTCACGGTGCGGTAAGCCTAGCGCCATTCTCCCTGCTTTACAAGCAAAATCAATGGGAACTACTAGACACATCTGCAATCAACAACAATTATTGAAGATTTCCCAGAACTGGGACTTGATCAACAGCCAATACCGCACCATGACGTCACTAACCAGTAGTGGTGTTCTTTGAAAAACATGGATGCCTCCAGTAAATCACATTCAAATGAAAATGTATCTTAATTTAAAACACTTGTCATTTATTGAAAAGTATCTCATAATTTTATACTTAAAGTAATTTCCGAAGTTTGTATTCTGAATGTGACCAGACTTTTCCTTTAACAATGTGGATGGGTTAAAACACTTCCATGTTAGATTAGTTGTTTTAACCAAAAGATTGGTTAGTAGATCTATTGGTTAATCCATCTGGCGGAATCAGGTTAGCCTTTTACAGTTGCTTTTTATTTCTCTACTTCTGTCTCCTTGAACCCCAGTCGGCCTCAGCAGATGGCCGCTCACACTGAGCCTGGTTCTGCTGGAGGTTTCTTCCTGTTAAAAGGGAGTTTTTCCTCTCCACTGTCGCTACAACCATGCTTAGGTTGAGGGATTACATTCTAATCAATGAGTTGATGCAATCAATTGGTTTTCCTTAGATAGAAAACTTTGAATCAATTTTACTGTATGATCTGGTTGAACTGTAAAGTGCCTGGAGATGACATGTGTCGCGAATTGGCGCTATAGAAATAAACTGAATTGAATTAAGAGGAGTTATATTGTATCATAAATTTAGTAAACGTAACAGTAAAATGCTAAAAACTACTCCTAAAAGTAAATTTTCTTTCCTAAAAGTTACTCAAGTAACTGTAACTGATTAAAAATGTAACTAGTTACTACCCACCTCTGATGGGAAATGCTTTACATGTTTCCATCTCAGTACGTGTTTCTCTAAGTAAAGTTGTTAGTGGCGCACCAACTCCAACTTTATTTTCTCTGTAACCAATCAGCAGCCTATCTTAGCCATCAGAGGCTGAAAACTGTTTAAGATAAAATGAACTGGGTTTATATAAACTTAGATGTTTCCATGGTCAGGATTCTGCTTTGGTTTCTGTTATTGCTCGCCTTGCTGGCAGCTTCAGACTCAAAGGACCCTTAATTTAGATCTATACTAAATGAAAACCCCCAAAAAAGTTTTTTACTGTGGTAAAGATAGAAAATACTCTTAACAGAACCTCACTTAAAAATGTCCATTTAAGAATATAATGTTACCAGTATATCTTCAGATCTTCTCAAGCTACATTCTTAGTAAATTAAATACTAAACTCTATAAGAATAGTGTTTGGGAAAGGAACCAAAGAAAGAATACAGAGGAAGTCTTGCAGCATCAAAACTACACTTTAATTGGATGGGACATCTCCGGAGAACATAGGGACAATATTGATTTAGCTGATCCCCCAGAATCCTAAACAATGCTCCTTCCTTTTCTCCATTACAGCTCAAATGGTGCCTTTCTGGACACTCAGGCCCACGATGCAGTGCTTCAACCCACATTCAGCTTCAGACTTGGCTTTGGTGTTAACTCAGGGAAACAAATCCAGCTGAGCCTAAGAAAATGTGTCTACGATCAAAGCCTGCAAGAAGAATCCCCTGCTTTCTGTTTTACTTCACTCGGTGCCGTCTCAAACTCTTTAATTCCTTTCACATAGCGTGGCATGCGGCACATTAACACTGTAAATTCTGCTCCCACAAGGAAGGTAAGGGAGCCTGGGCAAAATGTCTTTCTCTCTCTTATGCCTGTGTGTGGAAATAATAATGGTAATGGTTTGCAGATGAGTGGAGGGAGCTGTGAACGGCATTATGATCGTAGCGCAATTAGAGAAAGCTCGAAAAAACAGACGGACGGAGTTCAGAGTAATGGCTCCAACACATTTAATACTGGAGGTGCAACGAAACATCCAGCTCACAAAACGAGACGATATTAGGTTTACTAGTAGGAGGGATTTTAGCTCAACTGATGTGGGAAGATTAAAACTTCAAACTTATTAAATATGGAGTAAATCTTTCTCAGGTAACAGTGTTATTTAAAGTAGAATACTTAACCCTTTATAGGGCCCTCAGTGAAATACTTTTAAAATCAACATTTCAAGCCAATATTGTTATTGGAATCTAGGTTAAAACATGATTACCTTTGCAACATTAAAAAATATGGATATTTTTATGGCAAAAAGTAATATCAATGTAATATATATGTATTAATATATTAAAGGAATATTACACCCAAAACATGATTAGCCTTCATTTTCTACTCACCCCCATACTGAACAACACCCTGGAGTACTTTTTTGATATCTCAAATGCACCTGGAGATCTGGGAGGCTTCTTGCTGTCTGCTGACATTCAAATAATGGAGGTCTATGGTGCCTGAGGCAGAAAGGTCCATAAAAGTCCACAAAAAACGTGTCAATATTCCTCCATACTGCTCGTCCAATGTATTCCAAGTGTCCTGAGTGGGTAGCGTCCATAATTTACTCGAAACGAAGTCATTTAGAATGTTTTTAGAGCATAAACAGTAGTGTATAGGATTTCCTAAAAGCACGTTCACGAGTCTACGGAAACCGCGGCAGACCAAACCAGATGAAAGTGCGCATTCAGCTCGGCAAAGAACTCATGCTCTTCCTCAACACTGAAGTCCTCAGACATTTTTCTTTCGTTGTTTCTTTCTTTGTACAGGTGAACAGCACATTTCTTCTTCTACGCTTGCATTATTGGCAAATTTCATTATACATTTATAATTTAGGAATTTGACATATTTTTGACTTAATGTAAGTCAAAATTAAATAAAATTTTATTAAATCTCAAGAAAACTGATCAATTCATCTGTAAAAAATTACAGCATTTTTTTATTTGGTTTGAAAAAAACATTTAGCAGATGAAAACTGGGATCCTATCTCAACACCACTGAAGCTATTACCTTATTGTTTTTAAATAATTAGTAAAACAGAATTTTTAAAGAAAAAACATGAAATAGATCCAAAGGACCTATTAGTAACCATGTCTGTTCCAGCGCATATCATCATTAGAATTTCTTTGAGTGTTATGTCTTCAGTACAGGGGCCATAACAGGGGCCAGGACATGATCTACAGGGGCACTGGCCTCCACTGGCCCCTGTCTAGAACCACCAATGCCTACGCTACATCCTGTGGCTAACTTTTTCGGGTTTGGATTTAAACATAAATCTAGTCCTTTTGAGTTTTATGTTTTCATTTTGTGCGTAATCTAAAGAAAGAAACAACTAAAATGCAGATAAACATGGTTTAATCATATTTTGCCGGACTGCTCTGAGCATGTCCGTTGATGACATCAGAGAAGCAGTTTAACGAAGAAAAGGTTAAAAGCATCAAAACTGTCTCACAAAACACATAAAAATTTTTTTTTTATATGTTTATTAGCATTCTTTAGAGAGTTAAGGATAGAAATAAGTCATTTTAGTACCATAATTACATTATTTACAGACAACCGGCTGTATATCTGTTGGCCCACAGATCGGGTAGTGACAGTCCTGTGTCATTAGCAACTATGGGTTCATCTGTTGTAGCCATGTTTATAAATTAGTCCTAACTTGTCTTTTAAATTCTTAATGTTTCTTTAACTAAAAAGATATTTTTTGAAATCTGTTTGCCAAAATCCTACCAAATAAATTAAAACTGGCGACTTCGTTGACGCTAACATAACTGCCATGACGCAGAGGGTGACGTAAAAAGTTCAACAAGATATCAACTTCTATTTTTGATTCAAATAAGAGCCAAAACTTTAATACAGCAGCCATCCTTATATCTGGGGATTATAATAACAGCTTATAGTTCAACTGTAATGAAATAGCACTTTGTAAGACCAACTTCTTTTATTGGCTATGATCCTGGGATTCAGTATCATAATGATCTCATGCCATGAAATGTTGTTACACCGTTAAATGATACCAAAACAAACATCCACAAACACATAATCAAAAGTGAATATGGTGACAACACCACATCTAAAGTGAATGGTAATGATGATAATAGATGCATACCCTGTAGGAATCGGACACTACGTAGCACTCAGGCATCCCAGGAGCTCTGGAAGGTTCTTCGTTCAACAGAAAAGACTCCGTTGCCTGAAATGTAACACAGAAGTCATTCATTTATTCACGGATGGAGCATTTTAAATCACTCAACTTAAATAGAGGAAGAAAAAAACTGTTTGCAAGGGTGCAGAATCAGATTAATGAAATCCTCCTTATCCCTCTTGACCTATATATCCCCCTCTCACCCCTGTCCCATTCACTCACTCCAAGCCCCACCAGCAGACTCTCCTTTCATCTTTGCATTCCAGACTTGTTCACGCGTGCAGATATTGTGTGCTGCCCGGCTCTGCCCATGTGCAGCGCAGGCCAGAGGCCTTGCCCTGTCAGCCGCCAACTCTTACTGAGAGGAAAAGTTTTTCGCTGTGGCACCGCCGTGCAATGCTCAGACACAATGGCATTTCCTGTGCCCTGCTATTTCACCTGCATGCTCACTTTTCTGTCAGCATCCACTGACTCAGCACAAGTTTACCCACAGCCTTACTTTGCACATATTCAGCTAAAACATATCCACTAATCATTTACTAAAGTTTTCACACCCCTTTAGCTTTTGTTTCTTACATTCATGAAAAGATATTTAAGTATTTAATTTGGGTTTTACCCATTAGATCTACCCAAACCAGCACAAAATATACCTGTTTTGAAAACCAGACATGGTTTCTCATTGTTTTACAGTTTTAAATCTGAAAAGTGTGGGATACATTTATATTCTGCTGTTTTTGTTTAATATTCAGCAATAATTATGCGTGTTAAATCTCCATTTCAGTCAGGATCCTACTAAAGTTTCAGAGGATTAGTAGTCAACATATATGAACTAAGACAACAATCATAAAAAACATACTCAAGATCTGATGTCACATGTATCTATGATTTGAAAAGCAGAAGAACATAAGCATAATTCCTAAATTTATTTACAAATTCAGACACCTATGCATACATTTTTATTGACAGTTATCTTACCCCATAGTGAACAAACAGCCTCATGAAGATTACAACAACAATAATGGCCTGTGAGGTCATAATAAAAAAAATCATCAACCAGTAAAGGTCTGGAGACATTTTTAACTATAATCTGTTACTTAAAAAAGAATTTAACACTGAAATAAAAATGAGGTGTTTAAGCATCCATGGTATACATTGACTTTTTAATAAAAAAAAATTATATGTATATATTTTTCCATTTTAAAATCTAAAGTGTTTTTTTGAAATAGAGAACAACAATCGTTCAGTTTGGTATATTGACAATTTCCTGATTCACATATTTTATAAAACACCTGAACTGACCGTTTTTTACTTTTCTGGCTTGATGAGAGCAGTGGGCTTTATGCTGCCCTCCAAGGCTTTAAACCTGGGTTTTAATGGAGACAAAGACATTTTCAAGCACATATCAAGGTGCTCATTTTGAGCCTTAATCCATATTTATTGTTGATTCTGTTCATGGTGGAGAATCCTGCTTCACAGCAGCAGGTTGAGCCAAACATACTCTAAATGTGCAGGGTTATTTTTGAGCACCATTTCACTTTTTCTTTCACCAGTTCACCACAGTTCTTCCAGCAGTCCACTCTTTCTCTGCTCTCTTTTTCTCATCATCTTCTCCTTCTTTCCCATTGCCCGGCTTGCCACAGGTTTGCCTGCTGTGTCTAAGCTATGCTTCCATCAACACCTTTGTTTATAGATGCTGGTGATCGGCCTGTTTTCCAGTGTGGTCCTGTTTCTCTGACCGTGACTAACTGGATGTGCTCTCTTCATCCTCTGGCATGAGAGTTGGCTCGGAGCTCGTCTGCCTGGCTGTGTGTTTCCTGGACGGGGCCGCCTTTTACAGCTGCTTTTTGTATCTCTGCTTCTGTCTCCTTAGGCAGCAGCCCAGACTGACAGCAGCTCATTGGCTAATTTGTATCACGTGCAGCCTGGTGACGGATGCTCTGGAGGGCTTTACCGTATTAACATGAGAAGCGGCGCAAGTCAAGTTAGACACTGTCATCGGACTACATGCAGTAATTTATAAATTACTTAAATCAGATTGGGTTAGGATTAGCCAGCAGGTGGATCCGGATCCGGTCCGCTAATCTGTGACCTTTTCTCTAGTCAAGTACAGGACTAAACTCAACTTTTAAAAAATTTCCGTAGATTTGAAAACTGATCATTAGAAACACTTTACTCCAAACCTCATTAAGCTGGAACTGTTCTGCATTTAAGATTGGGCAAATTCATCTGTCTTCATGTGCAAAGATGGAGTCATAACCCACCTGAAAGCAGAACAGTGATGGTCCACTTTATATCTATGCCCTTCTTTAACTTGCCCTTGCACATAAAGTCCCACATTGACATTAGTTGTTATAATGTGACAAAATCTATAAAACTTTAAGGGACAGAAATACTTTTGGCAGGGCACGGACCACGCATCTGCCATCATCCAGACACACACAGGCCACACTGCAGCCTCTGTGTTGCATAGCTAAGGTTTTATATCCACTGTTTGTTTCTATTCAGCGCAGTTCATTTGTATGCTATGGGATGCACTGGCAGAGGCTCTGAATGAGCAACCAGGGCAGTTCTGAAGTCAACTGAAGCAGCCAGACCAGACAACACGTATGGGAGGGAACCTAAAAGAGGAAATCTGGGTCAGGGTGGGAGTTCTGCATGGCTCAGAAATCACTAGCACTATTAGTTTTGCAAGTAAATTTAAATTCTTGGAATGGAGTAAACCTGTTAGGCTGAGGCTAAAATCTGCAGGGGAATGAAAATAACTCATTAAGCTGTGGGGTAAGATTCTTTATTTGCAAATGTGCTCCGAAACTTACCGGAAAGAAGGGAATAGGGAAAAATAATCCTGTTTTCCAGAACTTTCCTAACATACCTTAAGCTGGAACAAACGTGCTCCCAAAACAGGAACAAACTTTGCTCGTAGCCGGCAAGAAAAATGTAAACTTATTGAAACTGGCATGTGTGATAAACAATTCAGAGGGAACTCAAACAGACATTAGCTCGCTTAAGCATGAACATATGCACACGAATACGCTCATGCACGGGGTGACATGGGATTGCCCTTGAACAAATACATGCAGAGACACATGCATAAACACAGCACTATAATAAGTCCCAGACTTAGGCTAACCGAGCTGTGGCTGGAGACACAGGCTATTCATATTCCTCAGAATGAGAGGTTACAGCTTCGTCCTTTTCCTTTTTACTGTTGCAAAGGAAGGACATGTGAGTGTGTGATTACACTCAGCTTTTGTGGCCAAAGGTCTCAGGCAGGTTGATTAGCATCTGAAAAAGACAGGTTTCATTTAGCGCTGAGTTTACTGCGCATACGGACGAAGAGAGAGTCAGAAAACCGAGCCATCCAAGAATCTGGGAAAACACCCTTCATCAGATTCAGCCTCAGCGCCCAACTTCTGGCACATCTCAGCTAATATGTGAGGAAAACACTGAAGGAAAACCATTCGAAACCATATGTCCCACTAAACGGTGCCCTTGTCAAGCTCCCCAGGCTTTCCTGTTAAGCTTTTAAACTGCCCAGTCCAGCTGAGGGATATATTTTACTCTGCTGATAATAACAGAGCAGCAGAAAATTTGGCACAACAGTAGTCCTCGCCGCATTGTGTTTCTGGCACGTTTTAGTCATTTGAAGATGAAAAATTATCCACGCCACGCCGACAGTCAAGTTCCGGGTCGGTGTGGCTAGAAAGAACAGGAAATGAAAGGATAAAACACGGATGACTTATAGAACGGGGAGTCTTTCTCCACACCGCAGTGTTGTTGGAGGTAGAATATTTCAAATTATTTTATTTCCTCTATCCGTCATTTTAAACTTTATGTCAGAGCATGCTTATTTTAATGTATTTATAAGTTGCCAATTTAAACCACCGGTCACAAATCAAGTTTGATCGTTTTAAAAATAACTTTTTAACCACTTTCAAATTTCTACTGTGTTTATTATTTTGACAAATGTTTATATTTAATTTTAAGTTCGAATAAGTAGAAGATTTTAAAAGTTTTGGACTTTTCTTTCTGTTTTTTTTTTGTTTTACACCATTTTTTTTTCTGTTACTTAGTTTTAAAATAAGTTAAAAATAAGTCAAACTTATCTAAAAAATAAGATTGTTTCCATTAGTTTTTTTTATTTAATTAGGCTCAGTTTTAGTTTAGTTTTCATTAGTTATAGATTTGGTATTAGCTTTTTCATAATTCGCTTAACTTTTAGGTGCAGGATTTAAAAAAAGTGCATTGTTATACCAAATGAAGGTTTGCATATAAGCAATAAAAACGTAATGAAATATATTAAAAAACTGGATCAATTGCAGCTGATTTTAATTGTGTCCGTTAGAAAAATTAAACACCTTTTAAAGGGTTTTTAAGGTTGAAAAGTAAAACTGATCTACATGAATACAAAAGATATTTATCTATAATTTTAGTGTGTTTTTTTATAATACTATAATACTAAACTATTATAATAATTTATTATACTTTCCCCCTATGAATTACAGATCATATTTATTTAAATCAACCAATATGTATTATGTACCAACATTTCAGTTTCCATTTATTTTTATTAGTTAGCTATATCAGCTAACTGTAACCCTGCAGAATATTAACAAAATGCACTTTTCAAATGTTTTTTAGGTCTAATTTCTGCCTGTCCCCCAGAATGAAGAAATCATTTAAAGGAACATGTCTGATAATATGAGTTATATACAAACATATCCCTCAATCTAATTAACTTTAGGGACAGATTAGAAACAAATGCACTGGCATTGTTTTCTCTTAAAAAAGGGGTTACAGTGATTCTTCTAGATATTGGGACTCCAGCAACCAACAGTAAAAAACATTATTCACAATCAGAGAAAACCTGAAAAAGTGGGGAACCTTCCTGGTGTGTGCGGCCTACCAAAACGACTCCAACAGTTCATCACCCATCCATCCAGGATGTCACAAAGTAACCCTGTAAGATCTAAAGCACCGACAAACTCACGGGCCTTAGTCAGTTTGGGATTCAAACATATTAAGCAGGATCAAACAATTAGAAACAA